AGTCAATCACCGGCATCTGTTGCTCAAGTACAAAAAGAATCTGAATAGGTTCATTGCGGCGTGACGATTTCTTGGATACGAGCCTGTCATATCTCGCAGGTGGACATTGACAATATTATCTCAGAAGAAACTTGGAAGCCGAATGGAAGATTCTTGTCCTCAAGTCCATGTCCCGAGTAAACAAAGTCAAGCGAATCTACGTGGGGAACCCAAGTTCTCGACAAGGGATGGCGGAGAAGCACAGGGCGGAACGATACTACCATCGCTGCAACTGAACAACCACTGGCACAGCCGTTCGCACATCAGAGGGAAGTTGGCTGTTTAATTTATTGGATTTGCACTGAGGTATATATATATATATATATATATATAGAAGATGTCCGTTAAACGAAGATAAAGAAAAGCGTCCGGGTCCGTCGATAGCACTAATGTATGTGCAAATCGATCTTTCGCAGCTGGCTAAGATGACCAGGCTTTCGGCATGACGGGCACCCTTGATTCTTTTCAAAAGTCTGGCGGATGCATCTGCGACGAACGTCAGCTTGATATTCCTATGCTGTAAAAAGAGTAACTTACGATGAACAGAATACGTGCCCGCATTTCGTCACGCTCATCTTAGATGGCGGACACAAGCACACCGGGCATGTTTGCTTTACGGTGGCTTTTGGTGTTGGTTGGCGTTGTAGGCGTTTCTTGAGATTCTACAAGACGGCGTTCAACTAAGCAACACAAGAGGGATCAAAGAGCCTACCAAGATCACAATGCCAACCTCTACCCGGGACATAGGAGCCTGCTCCTCGACTTTTTTGAGGGCTACAGGATCCTCCCGGTTCTCCTCTTGCTCTTGTAGACGTGCTAGCTCGTCTTCCCACCCTTCAGCGCGCTTCTCGCGATCGCCTTCTTCATAATCACGGTGGTGACGAGCAGATTGCTCATAATGCTGTTTGTGGCCATCAGCAAAAGCCGCGGCTGGAATTGAACGGTGACGTACGATTTTAAGAGCAGAGGAGGATTGAACTCCTCATCGCAGTCATCACAATAGTGATGGTAATCCGAAAGGATCAGATGCTGGGAGGAAATCAGTCAGACGACGACGCACGACAACAAAAAGGGGCTCACCGTCTTGTAGGAGTTGTTGTTCAAAAATCCCCGTTTGCAAGTACCGCAATACGGGTGTCGACCAGAAAAGTCGAGATGATTCCGCATAAGCTCGATAGACCATAGTGTCTGATCGCATCGGGTGCAATATTGCGGATTGAATTCCTCTTCAGGACGAAGAGTTATAGTGGAAGACGAAACTTCGCACGTGTTGGCGGTGTTTGTAGAGCGCAGTTGGTTGTGGTTGGTGTTCATGTTTGTGATGGAGGGAAATCAGGTTCCACGGGGGCATTTTATACGAAGAAAGGGGCAGCTGGTGTCTCACACCGACGAAATTGCCTCCGGAAGCAGTGAGACACTTCGTAGACACCTGTATTGGCTCGTGGACGATTGTTGGTCCATGTCTGCACCTGACGCCCGCGCAAGTTCGAAGTTCGAGTCTAGCATATCAGTGAGCTTGGCGCTAACGGAGCAGAAATGGCCGCCTTCAAAAGTGTAAGGTCAACAACAGCGGACGACCGTGATTATAGAAGTACCTTGCCTGACCCCTTCGGAGGTCTCGTAGTCGGTCTCGCCGGTAAGTGAAACCGAAGCAAGGGAAAGCGAATCGATTGGAGACATCCTCCGTTGTCCGTTATATCCTCGGAGGGCCAAACTTACGTTGGTCAACTCGGACTAAGTGCTATAACATGTAAGTTCGGCGAGTCAGACTATTTACTGTGTTATTTTACCTTCCTGCATATTTTCTGAAGCTACACAGAAACAAGGTATCACAGAACCATCACGCAGCTACGATAATGAGAACACGTAAGATTTGGCGGAAAGGACGTCCAGAATTATATTACGCACTTTTTCACGCCCAGGATGTCAGTACAGAATAGCGAAAGCGAGGCTAGGGATTGCCAAAATCTCAGAAGGCCATAGGACACATACCAACTAAAACAGACCTCTTCCATACAATATGACATACTGGACGTCATTGCAGCTGCTGCGAAATCTGCTTTGAAGCTGGCCAAAAGCTATGAGATAATTAAAATTACAGATTCAGAGGAAACTCACTCACGCAGACAGAGCCAGTCCAGCCAAAAACCTCAGAGTTCCTATGCTCGTCCCTGCTTCCTGCTGCACAGGAAAGCCAGCACAAATACGAAAGCATCAGAAATATATGGCTGAACAGCGAGGAGGGGCGGAGCCTGAGAATTATACTGTTGCTGAGAGCAGCAAATAGAGCAACCCTGGCTGATAAAAATTCACGGCGCGAGTTTTACATTGGGCCGATGTCGATAAGGCTACGGAATATTTCCCTGGATAAGATTCAGGACAGAATTCGCATTTCCTTGAGCTATAGACGTACCACTCTTCTGTCTGACTGCGAATACTGCCCTCCTCTAGGTTCCGTTCAGTTCATGGCCTCCGGAGAAATATGTAGCATATTGAAGCTGAAGAACAATCCCTGATCAAGTCGCCAAGATAGTTGGAAGCGAGCCCAAAGGATAAATATCTCCCTTCGCTGCATTGAACACCGGTATCGAGCTAACTTCTGAATATAAAGTATCGCTCTGAACTGCGTAGCTGACTGAGAAGGCGGAGCTCGTAAAATTACAGACGTCCAGGTGTCAAAAAGATGTATTTGTCATCCACGTGACCTGGCGCGTATCGCACAGCCACCGTCGGCCTTAACTTTGGTTGATGCGACGATGACACGGAAGTCATCGAGACGTGACGAATCAATGACACATCGCCCGCCCACTGCGATGGTCATTGTGTTCACAGACCTCTTCTGCAGAGTACATAAGGGCATTACTTGTGAGGTATTTCATCATTCTTCGCTCCTTCCACCCTCAGTCGCTCACCATCTTCCCTCTCAATCCTAATGCTGGACACTGGGTTTCGGCTCAATACGAGTATGACATGGGAGAACAGTCCGGTGCACTGAACTTACCCTTAATATAGGTAATTCAAAGGAGACCACTCTGTCGAGGAATCCCCACCACTCTGGCTATTTTCGGACGACGCTGATTATCACCTTATCATGGATCATAATTCAATTTGTTTCGTACACTCATGGTAAAGCTGTAGTCACACTAGATTGTTACCAACGTTAAGCATGGGTATACACTTTTCGATTGGTAAATCACTAATTAATGGTGATAGCTAAAGCCCGTGACAGAAAATGTACGCGACGGACGGATTTGGATTGACTTCTTCAATATGCTCGATGAAGCTTGAAGCTTGAAGGATTAAGCATGCTGGCCATCTATAAGGGGTTACAGTACGTTGCCTACTATCTTATTGGCATGCATCGTTGACTAATGTGGTTAGACCAGGGTGTTTCGTACGATCTGAAGCGCCGTTCTTGCATTATTCTCTGTAAATGGAAAGCTATGAGGATGCGGTTTGAACGGGTAAATATAGCCATGGTGCTGAATGTCCATCTTGAATGACAAGACATCAGTAGGGACGAATGCGACTTGGAGGCACAGTATGGATCTATCAGGAATGGGGAGTATTTCAAACATTCTACTAGGCTGTCCCTCGACTTAAGTCAGATTTAGACGACCGAGCTGAGCATCGAGTCTAATGCTAATGTCTTATCAGTAGCTGCTGACACTCCGAGGCGGGTCCCTGATGGTTGATACCGGATGCGTATCTCAGATCTGAACTAGATATAACACCACAATACCAGAGGCCGGAAGAAGATATATCAGGTACAATTGACAAAGACTTTGACAGCCTAAGCTACCATACTACTGATATAGTTCAATAGAAGCCCTCGAGCGCACTCTACAGGAGATTGAATATGATGGCGAGAACTAGAAGTTATGGAACGTACCAGAACAACGAGAACGACGAAAGGTAATTCAGTGGCTCGAACGGTTGACCGTACCAGCCAACGTATTGCCAGCAATTTCCGACATTTCTACTAGGCTAGAAACGTGGCCAGTGATGGGCAAAAGACGGTACAAGGAAGTGGACTTGAAAACGTACCTGATTGAACTCATTGCTATTGTCTATACAGCAGATGTTCAGGAGTAATTTTCTTCACAGTAAAAACACGACTCACGTTTCTTTATACAAAGATACTTCGCGAGGCACAACCTGGTGGGATTGTTGGAAACGACAACAGCACAGAGAACATGGTCATTCCGGTCGTACGAGTTTTGAGTAAGCCACATCGGGGTGCTGAATAAATCCGACTCGAGCATGGTGAACAGTGCGTATTGTGCAGCTCAAGGTCGTCAAGTTGCGGATCAACAAAGGGACTGAGGTTTGCCATTTTATACCATTGTGCCCACGTGACATGATATCTGATTTGAGCTTGTCTCTGCTTGTCTGCATTCAAGATTTGTACAAGCGCTCTGAAATTCAAGGGCATGTGTTGATGTGATCCTCGGTTCCGGTCCGATCGGTTCAGTTGCGGAATCGACCCTGGCGCGCCTTCCCTGCTACTCCCTCAGTCAAGCTCGCCGACCGGATACTACGCTCTACGAATCAGTCTCGATGTTCCCCCACCATATTTGTATGGATGTCTTGCATTCCAGGGTGAAAGGATACCTACAAGACGATACTTTTACACTTCACTCCCCAGCCTCATGTGTGCCTATTTAGACTACGTTCTTCAAAATGCCTTACTGACTAAAATCTGCCTTGGGAAGTCTCTAACCATGTGGTCTGTTTATACAGTTTCTAGAGGCTGCTCAATAAATGAACACCGAAACATGAAGACATAGAGTGGATTCATCTCTTCACGGTCAGCTTTTGCTCCGCGTGGCTTGGGCATCGATGTAGGACAATAGTACCCGACAGTTCAAAGAAACTTCGGCTTTCAAGATGCGTTCAGAGGTGTCCCGCCTTTTTTTCCTCCTAAATAACCCCGCTAAAATTATCACAAGGTCGCCACAATGCATTATGTGAAAGAGCATACCAGCATTCCTGTCTCGGACATTCTTATCTTTGATCCCGACTGGGACAGAAAAGTCGGCGGAGAGTGGATGCTGATGAGATATGTGCGCGTGGTATCATATATTCTAACAACAGCCTGATAAAATGTTCTTTCCAGAACGATGGTGTTAACCCCACGGTTATGGAGGTCTCTTACAGACGATCAATGGGAGACGTTGTGCACATCCGTAGCAGACATCTGGTCTCAGCTTCTCCGCTTACGCTTCAAATTTATCGGAAGTATATATGAACAGACGGAAGAGTCTGAAAATCGATATTTTATCGGACCTATGGCCTACCTTCCACAAGCTGGAACTCTCGCGTCTCCCGAGGCCTCGACGTCTGGCCCGTTTTCTTCTTCCAGAGAGTGGCTTGTTGCGGTGTCTAACGGAAAACTATCCCCAACTCGAAGAATTCCGCTAGACTTCGACTACGAGCACAAGTGGCGAGAAACAACAATCGATGTCGTGAAGAAGTCTCCTTTGCTCGACTCTGAATTCCTTGATCACGAGCAGATTGTCCTATCACACATCGACTATTCGTTGCACAACATCCTCGTCGTCCGCGAAGATCCTACTCGGGTCATCGCTGTGATTGATTGGGAGGGCGCGCGCACTGTCCCCATGTGGGCTGCCAATCCAACGTTCCGGTGGCCGTTCTTGTTATCAAAAGCTAAAGTCAGCCATCTCCAACAGATAATACGGAAACGTATAGCGAGCCAGATACCTGGATGGGAGTTCGCAACTGGAGACGGGTACGATACACTTCACTTGTTGCAAAGGCGTGCAGAGTGCAGCGACGCGGATCCGTCTGTGTATGACACCGGGGAACCAATACAACATATAATGTCGTGGATTGATGCACGTTGTATGGCTTTCTGAAGGACATAAGGTAAAGATATCATGTGTACTGGGATACACCGTATTATTATATTTCATCTCGCTGTTTGACATGTCTCGATCCATAACAGCTTTCTTCTTCAAACCGTAGCAGAAATGATTACTACTTCACTTCTTCTCTGAGGACCGATACAGCTCCTATCTGACTGATTTCAAGTCCTCAGCACAAAATCGCTGGAACCAATTCGCAATCCCTCGCGCGGACTCTTCCTTTGCCCAGCCTATTGATCATCTCAGTCGGTTGCAAGGGCATAAAAAAAGGAATAAACCTACGAGTATCGCCAACATTGGGATCACCTCTCAAAGCGAATCCATGCTCGACCCCCGAAAAAATCTGGAAACAGTAACTGGCCTTTACTTCAACCAGGATATCTTCGGCGCGTCGACGATTCTCCAGAGGGAAGGTGATATCAGATTCTGTTATTAGCAATAAGCTGAAGTGAATGAGAACCAAATTGGTTTGAACATGCCCGCGCATGATAGAAATACAGGTTCTGAACCAAGTATCAGTCCCGAGAGATCAGACAGAAAAGTAGGGAGACTTACTCTTGATATTCCTAAAGTGATCTTCATTGAGCAATCCTGGATGCGCAATGGCGCCTGGTATTCGATGCGTTGACAAAGGAATCTCCAAAGAGATATATTTAACGCCCACCAGCCACGATATCTCCACTGGCTGCGAGATCCAAAACGAATGGAGCGCCGAAACAGTATCCCACAGCTGCGTACTGCGAATCCTTACCTGTTCAGCTGAGTAAGTTTGAAAGAGCTTAACAACTACCACTTGCCGTATTTTTCCCGAATAGCCTCCAGCCATCTCGGCGTTAACTCCAATGCTCGCTGCATCGACTTGTCTATCCATGTATGCCTATCAAAGTCCGGCTCTGTATGAAAACCATACGAATCTCCGAGGAAATAGTCGATCCCAACGACGATGAATCCTATCAGCAATGGCCGTTATGATTAATATTCCGCAGCCGCGTCAAGGAGAACGAACCTTGAGAAGCGAAGTAGTCTTGAACAAGTTGGTTGTTGATATGCAATGGGCCGTATACGTCAGCAAAGTACAATACGACTTTTGTCTTTTGGACAGTCTTGGCGGGTGGGGGCTCGGAAACGTAGGTTGGTACACCAGCTATGATATCGGTCCTCCCGACGGGTGTCCCTCCATGCTTTACTGCAGTAAAGCAGCAGTCACCGAGAGTTCCTGCGAGAACGAGAGAAGACATGACGGTGGTTCACGCTCAACATGCGTATAGTTAATAAACGGATTCCGAAATGGCCCAATTGGCTGAGATAGAAATAACGGCCCGAGTCAAGGAACTGTTGAGTCAGACAAAATGATACTACTCACATTTCTAATGAAGACATGCACCTGATGACGTCGATCATCCCGCTTCTTGCGGAAAAAAGGATAAATACCCTATGTACCGGGACAAATTGAGTCCAGCTTTATAATCGCTGGGGTTTATGGGGCCTGAAAAGGCGGACGTAGTAAAGACTCACGTATCTCATTGGCACTGATATTTATGGGCGCAGAGAAACCATAACTTGCCTTTGCATTCATAAGATCAGCATGCTTTCAGCGATGCAGTTTTATGAAAGGCAGAACGAACGCAGGCCTGCACAAGGGAAGACAAAGGGGCCTAGAAAGACGTTCCCGTGATTTATTGACATTATAAAAGTGACGGGCTTACTCTTGCGATTCGGAAACTGGTCCTTAGTCAAAAGCAGGACGGGTGGCAGCCTAGCCAACATGTAAGCTAGGCACATATCCCGACGATTAGTCTGTTCACGGACAGCGACACCCTTTGTTACTACCTCGAGAATGAAAGGCACACATTTTGCGTCTTTATCTGCACAATGATAATGAGGAAAGGATGGCCGTACATTATGCTAAACGAACCACATTCCCCGTATACCGCAACCAACCATCTCGGAACGAGTTCGTTTGCCCTGGAGTTCGACTTACTTTAGCCACGTATTGATGTCGGACTTCCCGCGGAAGTATTAGGCCAGATTTCCAAGAAAGTAGTCGAAAAATAGTCAATTCCAACGACATGAATCCTGTCCACCCGGTGTCAGATTCGAACTCGATTATGAATGGAATACCGACCACCCAAGTATTCCTGAGAGCACACATGCAGGGGCGTGCATCAGACGAGAACACTACGACTCCCTTCTCTTCACTGGTTTCCATCTTGTTCATACATAGTAAATTGAAGACGTTGAGTTCCCAGTAACAGCACCGGCTCCTCCAGATTACCTTCATCGCTGATAGCCAAGGAAAAGGTAAAAAAAAAAAGTAAATTTAGCGTGGCTAAAAGCTCTTACACAAGACCTGCCAAGTGAAAATTTTACAGAGTAAGTGAAACAATTTTAACGGATATGTACCCTGACCTATATCAAGACGCATGACGCGTTGGACCCAGGAAAACTGGAAAACTGGATTTATTGGCCACCTCTGCTGATACAGCTCAGGTAAATAAGCGCAAACTAATCTACCTCGGTAGCTCATTGTAAGTAAAGGTACACGTATGAAGGGAAACGGTCAGGACGATAAGATAGGAGATAAAAAGGATGGTAAATCAATGGCTACGGCGTTATTATTCTTTTTCGATGGAGCCGGACGTACCCTTCGCTTATATTCCGCCCAAATCCTGCCAGCCAGACGAATGCATGACATGTGCCACGTGTGAGCGATGCGTACCAACAGACGACTTGTCTTCGCTCCCGGCAAACCAGTAAGTGCGGGCAAGGGTGGCGTTAGGCCAAGGTAGAAGCGAGATAGAGATTGGGGCCAAACGGGGCCATCTTCAAAGAGACATCGGACCACCTGAAGAAAGGACCTGCAAATGAGCAAGGGTACTTCTGCAGAGTCCAGGATACGGGATGTCTCGGTAATCAGTGTTTGTGTGGCATGTTGGCGGAAGGAGCGATACACAGGGCACGAGACGAAGACGTGGTGGACGGTTTCCAGTGCATCGCATCCACTGATGCACATGGGGGATACGTTTCCGAAGCGTCGGAATCGTGCGTACGTCGTGTCCAGCTGATCTGATCTCGCGTAGAGCTGTACCAAGGCTGAATATGCCGAGGAGGCCCGCAAATAGGGATGTTCGGGAGGTGTGTGTTGGTCGTGGAACGGCAGTAGCATCGTCATGGCAGGGCGGAAGTCTGGGCTAGAATAAGCAGCGGAAGTGAGTACAGATGGCAGATATGATGATATACTTGTTTCAATGTAGCCGTCGTTTGGTGAGTAAAGCATAAAAGAATCCATAAAGAAAGTAGGTAAGGGTGCGGGAGGTGGCCGAATTTGTAAATGCTGAGAACCTGATGCGAGCCGATCTGCAAGCGCATTAACTGTTGAAGGGGTCGAGGAGGAGTTGGTGTGAGCTGGAGTGTAGATGATATTGGGAGGATGATGTGGTGGTGGAGAATGCTGCAAGAGATGAAGGAGCCATCGGTAGAGCGAACGACCAGGAAGAGATGACCATTGATGAGGCAGAGGAGGGAGGTGGAGAGCGGAAGATACAATACGAGAAGAGTTGAGGTGGTCGGTATAGAGAGTTGGAGAAGAGGGTAGGTGAGAAGGGGGTGATGGTAAATTGTATTGATGTATTGTTGATGCTATGAGTCCGTACGTCTCGCCATGATAAACCCACGCTGAAGTACGGAAGCAGTCGAGATTCATGGCCAGGGCAGAGGAATGAGAAATTGACGAGAAGGTTACTGAACGTTGATGTCGGAAAGAGGGTGCAGCCGGAAGCATAGATGCGTCAGATGCGAAAATCCCAGGAGGAATGGAGGTGGGAAAGGGCGCGTGAGGGGAAACAGCGTAGTAGGCATTGATGAGATCTTGTGCTTGTTGCATACGCAACCTTGGAGGTAAACCCAGGAACCAAAGGGGCTCCAAGTCCAGACACTGACTCGCAGCTGCACCACGGAGGAGATTGTCATCCGTGCCAGCGATCTGTATGCGAGTTTGGCAACCAACCGCTCTCCGTCGTCTCCCTACAACATTATCTGTCACGTCCGAGTCCGTAGCCATATACCCATTGACCAGATCCATCAGCGTTAAATCGGAAAGCCACTGTGAGGTTTGTAACCACTGTTCTTGAGCGCGAGTGGTAGCATTTTGAAAGTGGACATTGGGATGAGGTTGTAGTTGCACAACGTCATGTTTTGCGGGATCTAGGGTGAAGGATGCGATGTCAAAGAGGTGAGTCAGTCCGGCATTAGCCAAGTTGGTTATAAACTGTGGTGGTAGACTGAGACGAGTGTGTAACGTGCGATTCAGGTGACGCAGAGACACATCGCCATAGAAAAGGAAAGAGAGATCCGTGTTACGGATGGACAAACCGTTTTGGCGCATAGTGTCATGTGCAAGCCGCCACTGGAAAGGCAGGCCACTTTGTTGCCGCATGAACGAGGTGTTGAGAGACGCGCCGTGAAGAGGAAAGACACAATGGTTCAGTTGACATGTCCAGTCCGCGAGCGTGATACGAGCCATATCTCGGAATGTTCCTATATGATGGTTAAGGTCACGAAGCAGGCCGTTCACGGCTGCTACGCGATTCAAGCGAGAGATAGAGGGGAAATCAAAACCATGGAGTGACAGAGGCAGCGAAAGCAAGGTAGAGTTAAAATGAAAAGGAAAGGAGAAGTACTCGTGTACCTTTGCTGTGATCAAATGGTCCAAGTGAACAGCGTCAGTCTCTGTAATTGGCTGATAGGCCAAATGAGGCCTGAGTTTTGAGACTAGGCACTGTGAAAGGACACGGCGTAGTGCCGGCAAAGGAAGGCGAATATTTTGGAGTGAAGGGAAATCAAAGGAAGATATCAAACCCTTGAGCTTGTGGTACTGCGCAGAAGGATCATTGATGGAAAGACGCAGGAACTCGATGTGAGAGGTCGACACCGAGAGATCATGTTGGACTAGGATATCGGGCTGTGCTGGGTGGACCGATGTAACTTGGAGATGAGAGGGAGGGTTAGGAACGTTTCGAAGGAAGGCGGCTGATTTGGGCCAGTTGGTTTCACCGCCATATGCGCTTTGGAAACGTTCCGACATCGTTATAGAGGAGAGGCACGTTGGCAATGAGGTTGTTACAATGGCAGAGTCATCCATCGCCTCCACCATCACAACCGGAATCGAGATTCTGTCGTCGGGGAGATGAGGTTGACCACGGGAGGCTTGAAGTGTTGCAACATGAAGGTGGCCAGTTTGGTGACGCAGGGAATCGGATAACCAGTGACTACCCATACTACTCGTCAAGGTGCACTTGATTGGGGACAGTGGTCCGCCCTGTTTCGTAATCCCACTAATTGTCAGTGCGTCTGTCAATCCGTAAAATGTCTTTATCCGATAAGAGACATCACTCTGGGCTGAAATATCGAAATCAATGATAGAGGAAGGCAAACCATAAGCCCTTATGGCGTCGTAAAATCCTTGAGGCTCGAGTCGATCAAAACCCTTTTTCTGATCTCGCCGAACGATGTATAGTGGAGTTTTGGTGCGGTCGGCCCAAGTTTCAAGCTGAGCAAGGAAAGAGGTCAGATCTCTTCCCTGTATGCCTGGTTGCGTCGCAATCTGTCCTTCTGGTAAGACAGAGTGTTGAGCTAGATATGGAGTTAGCAAGGAATTCAGCCACGCAAAAGGCATATTCATGCACAAGTTGCTTGTGCAGATTCCACGGAAGTTAGTGAGATCAGTTGCATCCCCTCGTTTATGAATGAGGGAAATAGAAGAGGGCTTAACACAAGAAGGGAAATGAGAGGTGTCAATGCAGTAGTTCCAGAGATCCAAGACAAGCTGAAATGAGAAGTCATGAAGACTCTTTACCATCCATTTCTCCCAGCGATCAGGACCAGGAGCCGGTCGGGGATTACCTTTACGAATCAGAGAGCGGCCAGAAAGCAGGTCCATCTTTTGAGGCCATTGAAAGGAATCACATCTGACGTTTTCCCTGATTGAACGAACAGATGGACAATCCATCCATGGCTTTGGTGGGTCAGGACGGTCATTCCTGCAGTACAATGCAGAAAAGTAGTCCATCGTTTGAGCCTTAACATCATCGGCACCGGTAAAGTATTTGCGAGCATTAGGATTGTGGTCGTCGGGAATTGAAATAGCTGGTGGAGGTCCTTGAAACTGCGAAGGAGGATAGAGACGCTTAGCAGAGCCACCAAGAAGACATCTGTTAAGACGACTTTTATCGGCTTTGGTGGAGCGCGAACGTCGTTCATCCCTTTCAGCCTTGTATCGAAGCTTGGAGAGAGCAGAGCGAGCCTTTTTATAAAACAGAAGAGAAGAAGGTGAGTAGAATAGTGATGGAGGGGACAGAATTGGATGAAGGAAGGGATGACCAGAAAGGGCCTGAAGATAGGTGCCCGTCCATCGATTCCGGGCACACAACTGAGGCAGAGATCGTCTTTTCAAGGCGGAAATCATCCTATTCAAGCGAGAATACTCGCGAAGAATGATAGTGATGGTTGGGGTTACTATCTTCTGATGCGAGCGGTCGTAGGTATTGGGGAGATCAAAAGCCTCGTTGCCAGCGGCCAGGAAGATGTCTGTTAGAGCCTGCCATCGAAGTTGATAGTCGGAGTCATTTGTTATAGGATGCTCATGAAGTCGAGCTTCCCGCGCAAGGCAATCAACACGGTCTGCAAACGTTTCGAATCGGTAAGACTCATGGCGTTTGGGGACTATGAAGCGAGGCGGGTAGGGAGACCTGTCTTGAGAACATGCAGATGTTAGAGATGAGGATGCATCCAAATCTATAGGCGGTGAGCAGAAGACTGCTGATGATATCAATTGGTGATCAGTTCCTGGCATAAAACAGCGAGGAACAGAGATCACAGAGAGATCAATCCCATGGGATGAATGAGCGCAACGGTCAATGATGGACCGACAAGTGCCATTGTAGGCATTGAAGGTGTACACATGACGAGCATCATTATCATTCTGGTTCTCCCATGTATCAATCCCACGAGACTGATGTAGGAAGTCACGGTACGCGGTGCGGGCATAGTTGTCGCCTGTCGCGTCACCCATAACCTCTGAGGATGTGAGAGTAACATTAAAGTCACCTATAACTTGCCAAGAGTGTTGAGCAGATGCACATAAGTGAGAAATGCAGACCCAAAAGTCATGGAGAGCGTCATGCGGACTTGGAGCACCCCCTGGGTCATACGGAGCATATACTCCCACAAGGCGATGAGAGAAGCCCCTACCACTGTCAGAGGGAAGAACGACATCAACGCATACAGCTCTTCCAGCCAGTTGGGGCGGCAGAGGGACCAGTTGCGAGTGCAACGAAGCAGTAACTCCTAAAGCAACGCCCCATTTCGAGGTGGTTTTATCAGCTTTAACGCCAGGAGATTCGAATACCTTATAGTCTCGTACGTTGATGCGTGAACGCACCGAGGAACGGGACTTGGTCTCAGCAATCAACCAGGCATGTGGACGGTGGGTGGACACAATGTTAGAAAAAGCGGAATGTTTCATCACATCAGAAAAACCATTCGTATTCACAGAGACAGTCCGAAAGGACTGAGACATATTTGCAGATACAGAAGAAAAGAAACAGAAGAAAAGAAACAGATGGAGAAGAACAGGGACAGAAAAATGAATTTTCGTAGAAGAAGAAAGACGCGTAGTTTCTCCCATATCTCGCCCAGATGTGCGGAGCATTTTTGAAGGTGATTGAATGGGTTCACTGATAGTGGGAGGAGAGGAAGCGAGGTTACAAGGAGAAACGTGAAGGAAAGGAGGCATGCTCACGGATTGATCCATCTGGGGTGTGTTATTTTCACCGACAGGGTCAAGGCGACGACGCTGATGGGGACGGTCATCCTCCTCGCCTTCAGGGTGTTGATGGGGAGGAAGTTGGGGCCCGTCAAGGGAGGACATCAAAGTGAAAGTCGCCATCCTGTCGGCCAGTGACGTATAGTAGACGTTAGCCTCACCTCGTAATTTGTCTTGAAGCTGAATGGCCCTGTCAAGCGCAGCGATCTGGTTATTGACCTGTGCCTTGACCTCATCATTAGGAGCCATCAGCAAGAAAAGCTCCTTAGAGGACCGTTCAGCGCGAAGACGAGTGAGCTCATTATCTGCCATAGTCAAGCGATGTAGACCAGTTTGAGAGGCAACAGACATCGCGAACGCATTTTGAAGAGCATTGACGGAGGCATGAATGCTCATGAGAGACTGGTTCTGGATGTTGAAAACGTTCTGAACAGATTGAACAGTCTGTACGCCGTTTTCGCGGAGAAGATCAATCTGCCGTTGCAGGTTTTGAATGTTGGCTGAGGCTGTGGCTGAATTTTCACTGTGAAGATAAGTAGGAGAGGCTGGACATCCACGCAAGTTGAAGAAGAAGAGGTACATGGGTTTTGAAATGGTGACGTAGGGAGGTACACCCCGGGGCAGAGGTAGGTCGGTGTAAAAAAAGCGGCCGTCCTTCTCCGGACCGGAGTGTTCCAGATTTGATCCATTGGATCACGGGATCAGTGCCTCCGGCCCGTACCGCGGCTTCGAGGCTTACTCTCATTGTCAACCTGCACACAATCTCTTAACCGGTTCCTTGGCACTTGGTAAGTCTTTCCGTACGTGCATTTTACTACCTCAGTTTGTCTAACCCTTGCATATAGCCTACGGTTTAGCTCCCATGTCTGTGCTACCGGAAGAGCTTGTCGAAGTCATCATTGACTTCTTAAAAGATGACAAGGAATCCCTTCGTTCTTGTTTTCTTTCCGCTCGCTGCTTTGTCGAGCGTGCTCGAATACATATATTTCACGATATCGTCATTTCCTCCCATCGGCGCCTAAAAATGCTCCTCGTGTTGTTCGGAGTATCCCCCAGCCTTCCATCTACGATTCATACAATCAAATTTAGTGGTCAGACGTTCATTGACCCTGCAGACTGGATATTCACCGACAATACAACTCGATGCGTCTTTCAATCCCTCTCCAATGTCGAAGAGGTCTTCATCGAGAATGTTAGGATTCCACGGCTGTCAGACAATGTTTCCCCTTCCTCCATTTTCCCATTCCAACAGCATATAAGACGCCTCGGCCTTGACGACCTGATTCTGGAAAATGGCGACGATCTCTTCACATTACTATGCGCTTTTCCTTCTGTGAAATATCTAAATTTCGGTTTCGTTCTCTTCCAAAATCCGCAATCGACAATGGCTACTTTTCCTTCCCCGCCACAAGAATTACGTCTGGAAACATTGGAGCTCCAGTTCTCCTATAATATCAATCATTCCGCGATGTTGTTCCTGCGAGAGCATTTCGCTGACATTCTCTCGGTCTTGAAGCATCTACGCGTCACATACATGACGAGCCATGAGCTTCAGCTCGTCAGACTCATTCTTTCTCAAACCCGTGGGTCCCTCATTACCATGTACATTGGTCCTATGATTCTTGGCAATGCTGAATCACAGCAACATGGTAAGTCTGCTGACCGGTCACGTATAAGTCTCGGTACTTATTATCCTACTACTCAGCCAATGATCCTATACTTCTTCTATCTCTTAGTCATATCGAATATCTGACGATCGTCCTCGATGAAACCGATCCACACATCTCTCCACTCAAGTACTGGACCGAGAACTTCGCAACAGATGACGAAGACTTCAAGCTCAGGGAGCTCACAATCAATTTGAAGGTTCACGTTGAGCAATCAGATTCCGCTTTCTCTGCGTCTTTTCCCTTGGCAGCGCAGTGGTCAGCACTGGAAGCCGCCCTTTGTCGCTCCCAGATGAAGAACCTTTGCAGAGTCAACTTAAACCTCACCGCCGACTCGGGGTCTGGGTATGATCCCCAATGGATGACCCTCTTCGCTCGGTTGAAGGGTATCATAGAGGAAAATTGCCAATTATTAATGAGTCGTCATATCCTACGAGTAGGCAAGTCGCTCAGTTTCACACCAGACGTCGATCTGACAACCATTTGCTAGATTTCTAGACATTAGAACGATACTGAAATCAATCTTCATTCGTTTTATTTGACGCCACAGTCTGCAGATTATCCAGCCGGAAACATCACTTTCTACGCGAATGGTACGCGTTAGGATCTTGAGGTCCAAAAAGTGCCAGTGTTAGGCAAACGGGCCCGTCATTTGGCTGTGATCTGTGGGCTGATGAACGGGAAAAGGTCTTTTGCTTTATTTCAGGATTACGACTCAATTCTTTTGAAAAGGAGAACAGTCTAAGGCGTCAGATCTAAACCGTATGCCACCGAGTCCCTCTCCGCTATATCCTTCCACGCTTTAAGAAGTGCAGCTGAATCGGCGATTCGTATGCGCGCACGATTTTATATTTATCACCGTCTCCGCCCCACCAGCATGAACTAAGGTCAATCAGAACCGTTGCCTTGAATAGCCAGGATGTTCCGATTTAAACTGAAGATCGGGTCTGGAATGGGTAGGGCACCATTTCCCAGCATTTTGCGTGAGGTACGCGTTTGGCATGGCAACGAATCACTTGTAGAAAGAAGCGGACCAGCGTGTTTCTGGCAATCAGAACAATCAGGGTGAGACTAAAAACAGAAAGAGCTGAAGCGCCCTGGTCTTCGGCATTCACCAATAAGAGTCGATTCTCTGTTGATGGTCGGACAGTTGCGGTTCCGATTTGTTACGGGGATAGACTCCAGTGGCTTTCTCAGGTCAGAAAAAACGATCCAAAGATGCAATTGGACTGCATGACGAGATGGCAGTGCCAAACTGAGGCAGCCATAACGGTCAACTTAGATCTGAGTAACATGGCTTGATTCAAGCTATGACGAAAAAATCTGTTTGCATTCGGCATTGACTTGACGTCCCTTGAGTTTCGGGAAGCGACAAGCCACGTCGCTTGAACCAATTAAAATCATTCGGAGGATTGCAGCGTCCGCTTTGATAGAATGCTTCCAATAATGAACTTTTGATCCTTAGCGATCATGATCTTTGTTCTGATCCGCTTCTTGCCAGTAAATTCACCGACTTTGTTACAACAAAAAACATCATAGACGTTCGCGCTGTTGCAACGCGTTACAACAATGTATTTTTTGTGATTACCGTCTAATATATATGATTGTCTTCTGAAGCTGTCTAATCTACGTGTTGCAACGCATCCGTTGCAACACTGTTGTAACACCCCGTTTTCTGACCCTCTGCTCCCTTGAAACGGACAAGCGTTGCAACACACCGCTCAACTCCTAAATTTTGCGACCCATCTACTCATCAACATATACCCATCCTCTAGCCCCTTTGCATTGCGTGTAATTAACAGTCTTGCTACAGAAATCTATGTCAGCTCTGTTTGAGGCACACATCATTCAGAGCGTACCTTGGTTCCTTGGGCTTCGCCATTTCTTCTCGTCTTGCGCTACGTCTTGGATGGATAGGCAGCTCGGCATTGCGCCTTACCACATTGTCAGTCATAACAAATCTGCACAATAAATGTACTCACTTGATACGCTTTGTAGTCGGCTCCTTTGAATGGCCAGAATCCGGACTTTACTGTTTTATACTTCCTCCCGTCTCTTTGGATTGCTCGTTACCAGCTTGCGCGGTCTTCTTGGGGCGACCTCGAGCTCTCTTCGCCTTTACTGCCGTCCTCACCGGAGGTGCAGGTTCAAATAACTCTTCCATGATGACGGGCGCTAAAGGGTTCTCTACGATAGGTTCTTCCGCAACAGGTAGCACAAATTCTTCTGCCATGGGTGTTAGCGGGCTATCCTCATCACAAAGCTCTTCCGCAATGGGTGGCAGAACTCCTCCATCAGGCGATTTTGTTGGATTCCCCTCAGGATCCCGTTCGGGTTGCGGAGTTGGTTGTCGCTGTGGTCGCATGCCCTTCAGCCAGTCGATCTCCTCATGCTCTCTGGCCAGAGAAACCTCTTTACGCGGAGAAGGTCGGCGATTGGGGGACTTGGCCTTGGACGGCGATGACTTGACACTGGCGTCTTTCTCAGGGCTGAGTGGGAGAGACTTGGATGGCGATACAGGCGTCATAGCATGGAACAATATAATGTCCGGATTTTGGCAAAATTGATTAATTGACGAATTGACTTGATGGACGTGGAACTAGAGACAGTCCAGGCACGGTCCACGTGGTGGCGGTGCAACCCCTGTTCTTAATTGAAAAGCCACCGACGCGTAGGGGCTTTGTCTTGACCACAACCTCCTACCTTCGTTGGCCACCTCTACCACTACTAAGCGACGAGCGACAAGGAGTCGCTCGTCATATCCTCTACTGTCTGCAACTCAAGAGACGTCTACCCCTTCGAAGTCATCTCCCGATGAGGCCGCCCTCGTTCTATTCATTGTTGCCACATCTTGGCTTGGTGGCACAAGGAAGGGCGCGATTGTAGATCAGGTGAGCGGCTGTTACAGGCCTCTTTTAGAGGTATTATGTGATTGGCAGTGATCACGGCGGTCGGACATTGCTGCTTGCGCCCAAGCGAACTCAATTTACCCGCGGCGGTGGTTGCATCGGACCGTATTGCAAGCCGAAAATGAGATGTTGCAACAAGAAGCAGGTATGGGATTGAAGGTTTTCTCTCTCTAAGTTACATACAATAAATTTCGCGTTACAACGCGTTGCAACACGTAGAAGTAGCTTACATATATTGTAACTATTGATAAATACACGAAATTATTGCATTGTAACGCGTTGCAACAGGCTGAACGTCTAAGACGTTCTTGGGTTGCAACAAAACCCATGAAAAGTCAGTTCTTGCGTATTGATACAAATGAGTAGCATTAGGGATGGAAATGTGATATAGAGGAGTGTAGTCCCTTATTTTATATGTCCGTTTTAAGTATTGTTCTTATGATCTGCGGTACCGTATTCAGTATAACAAGGCCATAAGGGGAACGGGCCTCACTATTTCCGAAGAGACATGCCTTGTCATACATTCAAGGAGAACAGAGTTCCCAGAACTCGTCGTTGGGAGGCTATAGAAATATGCTTCGGTTCATCATCGGAGAAGGGTTCGCTCGGGTGAATGCTTACAGTGTTATCACTATTACTAGTGTCTACGGGAATCGATTAGTTTCATATGAAGATCGCAATGTGCAGGAAAAACTTACGCGCACGTTTACATTTGTATACCATGACAACATTGTTCGACTTAACGAAGCATATGTCATCTACGCGCCATGAATGTCCATGGACCCAAGTGTTCTTTGATATAAAAGACCCATGAACAGGCATAGTGAGTAGTTTTGCGATAACACGGAAATGAGGAAGGTGGCCACAGTAAAGTTTCAGTCGTCGATTGACTTCTTAAAAGAACACCTACTGTGAACGAGACAGCGAGTCATCCGGAGGCCGTATTTCACAGCAGTTCTTCTGAATCGCAGGAGTCATCTGCTATGAGTGCAGTTTCGTCCACCGCCTAACTGGACTTCTATCATCGGGATGGGAGATGGAGATTGCCTGCACTTCTGAGTCACCGCACCTAATTGAGCTGGAAAGAGAGCTGTTGAGATTATCGGCTTCACTTGACCGAGTTTTCAGCAGGCGATAGGTGTGCTGAAGGAATCATAGCAGCCACGGAGAACCTGGGTATCAGAGACGGCGCATAAGATCACTGTTTGACAGTCCGGTGATATCGGTTTGGGTCGGCAGTTTCGGTGAACCGTCCAATCGCGCTTGGAAGGTCATCGGTCAGATGTTGGAACCGTATCGCTAGGTCCGATAGAGAGAATGAGGAATCGCTGGTGATAGTCGCGGGTGTAGCTACGGATGCGGGAAACTACGGATATCGTACACATGATCGCGGAGAAACCGGACCGTGCCAACGCTCCCGATGTAAATGAAGCAAGCCGGATCACGCATATGCCTTGTAAGTGGACGCCACAACTGGTAGCCCTTTCATAGGAGCTGTGCGATACGGGTCACTCGGGAGACGGAAGTATAGAAGAAGACAAAGAATACCGAATATTGGTGTAACAGAAGAAGGCGCCGATTCATCAATATAACCCGGGAGCCTTATGTCGACAACAGTAAGTTAATCGATAAAGTCCGGATATTGATTGATAACGGACAGGCCGCGTAGTGAACCCGCGGAAGACTGTGAATACAGCGAAAAGAAGACATATGTATGCTACTTTCCTTGAAGCTGTAAACCACAACAAGATGATAAGAACAGCAAACAGATAGTACAGAGCGGCCTCAAATGAAGTTGTAACAGCGGCGGTAAGCACCATTTGTGACCAGCAGCTAGGATGTGTGATGTACCAACTTGAAGAGAGCAGTAAAAACCGAAGAACAGTCTCAGAACCTCTAATTGCAGTTACAGCACAACACAGTTAGATGTGATGAATCTAAGGTCTGGGAAGTAATACCAGTTAAGTTATTCTACTACTTGGACCCTACAGAAAAATAGGGCCGCAGTTGTGGCGCTATGGTGTAGTGGTAGCACATTGGATTTTGAATCCAAAATTTCCAATAACCCAGGTTCGAACCCTGGTAGTGCCTCCTATTCTGAGTATCATATAGTTCCGATTTTTTTTGCGACTGGCCTTGGCCCTTGTGTTGCCAGCACAAAAAAAAAGCGAACGTTTCAACCCAAAACGATCAACTTTTTAAAAAAAAGACTTATACAGTTGAACTTGAAGTTTCCTCGTAAGGATGTGAAGAAATCTTATGCGCCAATACCTCAGTCGAGCACAGGAGATGTAACCAGGTTGATAATTGTATATAATACCGAAAGGCGCCAAGTTACGAATAGGGAATGGAAATGGTTTGCATGCCGACGGGATGTGTGATAATGCGCGTGCCTCCCTTCAATAAAACAATCCGTTGTTTAGGCCTCAACATAAACTAGTGGATTATGACTTTCAAGCAACAGTCTTATCCGACTCTTTCGAAAGTGCTACTGATAGTCTTCTCGTTGGTGCATATTTGGACTTCATTCGAAGAATGTGACCATATCTATAAGTGTCGGGTAAGTGTCAGTCGATTTTAAAGGAGAAGGACAAGCCTTACTTTATAAATAGCAGAGGCAGAGGCACCATAGCCAGTGCGATGAATCCTAGAAGCGACGATGCCAAATGGGCGCCGAGGGTGGCAAACAGCTGCAACGAACATCGAATATCAGTAAAAGGACAAAACTCCAAGTCCGAAGACAACTTACAGGGAAAGCGGCACCAAAGAGACTACGGCAAACAGTGTTTGCCGCAAGGGCTGAAGCGGCAACCATCAAGTACGTGTCTGGAACTGGGGTCAGACAAAGTAGATCAGGATATCGAATTTGCTACTCATACCAATGATATAGTTGAGAAAGCTCAACTGTGCAAAGAATTCAGACATCATCAAGCCGCAATCAAAATGGAACACTGACGAATATCCAACTGATAGCAAAGCCCATAGCATATCCGGCCATTAATGGTGCCCAGTATGATACCGATGGAAACTGAAAAATAACGTCAGTCAGTAACCTATTCCAACCACTTGCACCACAGCTTACTGAAGTCCAACCAAACTAAAAGAACGACACAGCAAACAGCGGGGAGGCGTACATGGTCATATGCAAACGATACTCTGGTGCAACGGGATCTGGAGCACATCGAGCCATTTCTTTCTCGTAACGAGGATGCCAGATTATGAGGTACTATGGACAGGGCATTAGAAGAGAATGAGACCAGTCTGTAAGACCAGCGCACCCCGATGACAGCTGTAATACTACCCAACATCACGGGTAAGAACATCAAGCCAGAAATACCTGCGTTAAAACCGTGACCCTCAGTGAAGACAATGGGATATGCTTCAAAGAGAATGTAAACGCATCCATAGACAAACTGTTGGCATGTGAGAGTAACTTGCGACGAAAGAACCTAGGACATACGCTCAGATATAGTGTGCTAGCCATGAGCATGGGCTTCCTGGAAAAGAATCTTGAAGGACCTAGTGAGAACGTGCGTAACTTGCTGGGCCAACGTCCTTCGTGTCTCTTTCCATTGGTACGTAGTATCTATTGTCGCCCGTTTCTTTCCTCATTTTCTTCGCCTTTTTGACGAGAAGAACGGGACTAGTGAGGGTGATAAGTCCTTAGATACCCTAGTCGAGAAGAAGGAATGCATACCGGTACGTCTCCGGAATTGCCACGATGATTAGTACCCAACAAACTCCAGCCTAGAAGTGGATCAGTCGACAGATGATTGTACGTAGATGGTTACTTACGAAGATGGTTAAGACACAGAAAAGCCAACACCAGGAGACGCCTGTAAGCACCGTCAGACAGCAGGCCAGCTGGATATAGTGGTTACACTTACCCGCTACAGATATAAATCCTGCAACTGTAGGTCCTAGGGCAGGCCCTGGAAAACGGAGCTACGGCAAATATCGCAATGGCCTTTCCCCGGGTTCTGGTATCCCATATATCGGAAATGACGGCCCTAATGAGACGTTAGTTATGACTCCAATGTGCAGATCGTAAGGGAATACCCGGAATTCGTCAAAGGACAGGCAGCGAAGGCTCCTCCAATGAAGCGGAAAATGAGCAGCGAGGCGGTATTGTCAGCCAACTTTGCCATCCCGATCTGGAAGCCCTATTTTTGCGACCTTTAGAAGAGAAGAATCGGATAGTAATCGTTATACGTACTACATAGAAAACTGAATGCTACAATGAAGACGGGTCGTCGTCCGAACTCTTCGGATAAAGGTCCCCAGAAGATAGGCCTTGTTCAATGAGTGCATGCACTAGGCAAAATAAATAAATAAATACATACCCTACACAATATCCAGCGACAAACAGGGATATCATTAGAGTCGCAACCTCCATTGATATGCCGAAGTCTTTTATAATTTGGTCGACAATGCCGGAAGCTTTATGGGATCGGAATGTTGGATAAAATGAAAGGACAAGGAGACAGAGAACGTACGTGCAGAACTCGCGAATGTACTGGACGGAAGCAAAAAAAAAACAGATCAATGGTGAACACAGAAAGCTAATGAGGTACGCACGCATTAAGCAACAGCATACCACATAAGATGGTCACAAACCATTTATGCATTATTGACTAATACTGGAAAACCGATCATTGTCAGATCGGAAAGGCTAGTTCCAAAAAAAGAATACCTGTAGGTCCTCAGAAGGGTCAAGAGTGACAAGAAATGGATCGACGTCAGTCTTTTGCTTCCCGAATCGTTGGACTTGTATTGGCTCTACAGCATCAGGTAGCTGCTGGTCGGACTGGAGCGTCTGGGTATCGATACTGAGGATTTGTGCAGACATGATAGGTTAAGGAAACTAGAGGAATGAAGAAAGAGAGGGTATTATACCTTTCCACAGATATTGCAGTCATCCCTGACCAAGTCAGTTAACAACCGACCAACCGACCAACCGATTAAGCTGCCGCATTGCTGTCGGGATTCTAAACTCCTACCCGCATACACATTTTGAGGATGACGATCATCAAGTGCCGATAGTGGCTGCTATTCAGGACTTGTATCGTTAGGCATAGAACTATGATATTAATTCTCTGAGGAACTAAGGAGCCAAAAGTATCAGTGCCAGCAAGACAGTAGCGGTGGCTTCTTGCTTCCAATATAAGGTTGATATAAGGACACAAGGTCTGGAAAGGAATTTTGTCACTCCTTCTTAGCAACTGGGTGAGATTCGGGCCACTGCTTCCTGCTCAGCCGAAGGGCGTCGCAATGAAACAGCGTGATAGCTGAATGCACCTGTCGAAGCGGGAGAAGCGAAACGATGACGGGATGACGTCGTCTTCCTAAAGTAGCCTGCCGAGAGCCGTGAGGACGAATTTACGTTTTAGTTTTGCGTCAAATGCTTGCCCACTGAAATTAGGTATCCGCCAATGCTCTTTTCGCTAAGTGCTACAGTGGTTCTGAATGAGGCATAGCCGATGTCACCCGTGCTGCATACGGGCATCTAAAACAGTTCAAGTCTAACAAATCGTCATGTTGCAGAAACATGGATGCTTTTACTCGAGGGAGGGAAGAGTGCATATTCTGACTCGGCACGAAGTTTTGTGCCATGCCTGGTGATACAAACGAACGGTATGATAAAGAGACATATGGGGGAAATTTAATGCACCCATGATACTTAATGATGTCTAATTATTTATCTCTAAGATAGATAGAACTATAAGTGATCTAATCCACATCCGTGGTACGTGGGTCCGCTCCTCTCACTGCTCGTAAGTTCATAACACCTCCAACAACAGAGCTCATAGCGTGACCATAAAAGTACGCTGCTCGCGATAACATGACCTGCTCCACGACCCCGCGAAAATCTGTGAGCATCAACAGCCAATGAAGCTCCCCTCTCCTCTCCTCGATAGTAAGAAGATCATTCATGAAAACGGCCCCTTCAGCTTGGAACGCTTCTAATGTGGTAGTATTCCGTTCGTCTGTTGCGACATAGAACCTTTTCGAAGATTCAAGACCAGGACAAGCGAATGAAAGGAGGAATCAAGCTCACCAGTCATCATGTAATGGCGGCCTTCGGCTCACGACCTCATAATCTGGGTTGGGCCGATGAGGCAATTTCGGCAGTGAGCAGACTCTTTGGGCCCATGGAAGCTAACAGCCCTCTCCCCTTATTTAAATGCTGCTTCACTCGCGCGATATGCGCCTCAGGGCTTTTCTCCATCACCATGTTGTAGTCCACAACTACGATGGCGCTATCAGACTGGGAGAATAGTATAATGCAATAGACAACGTACAATCACCCCGACGCATGTGCGCACCCATAAATAAGCGATCACCAGTCAGATAATACATTCGATCCACCATGATATCAACCAACGACAGCACAGCTTCGGTCGGTCTTATACCGTGCAGAATCATTTCTGCGAACTCGTCGAGGCTAGAACGGGTCGTAAAGCGCATGCCGCCCTTAAATAATCATTCAGCCAGTGCACGTGCAACTGAGAAAGTCAACACCTACCGGCTTTCGATCATGGTGCACTTCACCGGCGAGTAATACAACGTCTTCCGTGTGTCCATCGAAATCGTCTCGGAACCCTCGAAGCGCAGACCGAGGGACTACCTGCTTCGTAGGAGCAACGACGGGTTTGACGAAATCCATACCAATACTGACGACGAATACTATTAGGGAGATCATTTAGAGGCGTAAGAAGGAAAGACGTACACAGGTTGGAACGTATGAACGACTTCCCAGCCATTCTCCGTCACGACCGTCTCAAGCTCTTCCCTGTCGGATATATCCAAGATGGACTTGGCCGTGTCCCAGTCAAGCACAAGTTTGTTCTCCGGTAATGCTTCCCGTAACTTCTCATTGACCTTCCCATTGACCTCCATAACGGTCGACGACATCCTCGCTTTTACATCCTCCGAGAGCTCATCAACTCTCACTATCTCCTTCGGATCATAAAACTCACTCTCAATGGCATATAGTGAAGGAACCTTCCCAGTAAACACATTCTTGAGGTTGGGCGCATGATACGCGTCTCTCAACCATCGACCATCGCGTTCGACAACCTCCGGGTGGTCGTACCCATGCAAATGAAGATATTCCGCGACAGTCACGACAGGTTGGTACCTCCGGAGGTGGGTAATGTTGAGCATGAACTCGATAGGGATGACCCATGCCATTTGTTGCTCCACGGGGAGATCTTTCCACTCCCACTCGTTACTCTTCATTACGTCTCTGTTGAGGGACCAATTTTATATTTCTGGAAAACTGGATATGGGGAGGATGTACATACCCTTTCCTGACCATAGTCGCGTAGTCGCCGCAGACATTACTGCATAAAGAGATCAGTGACCGGAACCAGCAACACCGGGAGGACGTACATGTCGTACTCAGCAGTGCCGTGCGTACACGAACGAAGGGAAGAATGAGAGGTCCGCTTGCAGAACCCTGGCTTGAAGTAGAGCTGTATCAATGAATGAAACGCATCTGCACCACCGAATACTATGAGCGACGTGGCAAGGAGCTAGCCACCACAAAAGGAATACAGACATTATTCCACCCTAGATGCAAGCTATAATCCCTCGCAAAGAATCCTTTTGTAGTCGAGACCATCTGCCAGAGTTGCTCCAAGCTGGGACTGCTCCGTCAGTACAGTAGAGGACGGCAGCATTATTCTGACAGGAGTCAAAACCATGACAGTTTGAATCTACAAGTGCCGAATCTCCAGCATGGCAATCATGACCAACATCCGAAGCCGAGTCCGCTAGTCGACGCCAATTCCTCCCGTATCCAGTACAAAGGAGAGCGCGAGGATGAAAGAGTACACCCGCAAGCAAAGAAACAAGTAAAACCAGCCCAGCAGACCTAGGAAATCGTGGCGTGCGCTGAAAAGAATGTCCCAAAGCGAGGCGCATATGCTGGTGGGTAAAAAGAGAAAAAAGATATCAAGGGTCAACCGCAGTTCGTCACGGTCGTCGCTCGGAAAAACACCTGCTCCACAAGGTTACGCAGTTACCTGATCACTGAAAATATGAAAAGCGGACAGATCGTTTTGCATTTTCCCGTGGATTCGAATTCAGGAAGGATGGAATTATTCACTCAGTGGACAGACGGCGATATCAAGAGTCGGCGTCATGGATGGATGGGAACGTTAGTTGTTTTGCACCACGTGGTCCACCGATCCACACGCGAAATTGATTCTCAGTGTACGTCATATTATCCACTGCTCAAGCGACCTTGATTCGTTTGTTCGCCATCATCCATGAAATTCAACATGCCAACGAGGGACAGGGAGAGAGAATATCTGCTACGTCACATTACGATATTGAAAAGAACAGCATGGCGCAGTGGTAGCGCGTGGGGCCCGTGTGAGTGACCCAATTTGGCAACTCCGAGTCGCGACTCGCCCGCTTCTGTCAGTATCCCCCTTGCCAAGGAGACGACTTCCGAAAGAGAGAAAAGTCGGGAAGGGAGACTCAGTTGTTTGGGACAATGGGAAGTTCTCGAATGACCAACATGGACAGAAAAGTACTCAAAAAAGTTTATCCATGCATGGCTGTTAAACGTGAACTTAGAGATTCGAACTCACAGCTCCGAAGATACGCTTTTCCACTACGCCGGTCAGTTGTTATTCATAAATCAGATAGCCATAATTGATGTAAACCATGCATTGTACAAGCCTTTTATAGTCCTATTATGCTCTACATCTAAAATACAAAACAAGTGTAATTACTGACTCTTCTCTAATGCCTTAACGACATCCGTAATGAGATCGTCTCCATCCTCAATACCCACACTCAGCCGTACCAGTCCACCTGATATACCAAGTTTCTGGCGCTGCTCCTCCGGTAGTCCGGAATGCGTCATCCCAGCAGGATGCTCCGCCAGACTTTCCACACCGCCAAGACTCTCAGCCAACGTAAACAACCTCAGCTGCTCCAAGAACCGGCCCGCCGCGGGGTATCCACCACGAACCCGAACCGAAATCATCCCTCCATACGGGAAATCAAACGCATCCGCTGAGGTATCTGTCGTACGACTAATCCACTTCTTCGCGTGAGCACTGACGCCTCTCCATGCGACAGCGTTCCGCTTGTGGGTAGCCAAACCGGGGTATATCACCTCCTCGACTTCTTCTCGCTGTTGGAGCACCTTTGCTAACGCCAAAGCATTCTCGCCATGTGCGCGCATCCTCACGCCCAGGGTCTTCGCGCCCCTCATAGCCAACCAGCAGTCGTACGCGCTCGGGACAGCACCCATGGCGTTTTGGAGGAATCGTAGTCGTTCGATTAGCGGGGTATGATGAGGAGGGACGATGACGGCGCCCATGACAACGTCTGAGTGGCCAGTTAATGTACTTGGTTAATGAATGAAGAACGAGGTCGGCTCCGAGGATAAGGGGAGATGAGTAGAAAGGAGAAAGGAATGTATTATCGACGAGGACAAGCGGTTTTGAGGGATGTCGCCGTGCGATGGATACTATCGCTGGTATATCTACCACACGTAATGTGGGATTTGTTGGCATCTCGATCCAAATTAACTATAGTCGAAGGTTAGCGCGTAAGAAAGGAAAAGATTAAAGGGTTGAACATACCTTGGTATCATCTCGTATCGCATCATATATCTCCTCTTCAGTCGCCTCTTCCAAATCGACAAACGTCGTCTCAACACCCTTGCAACTCTCCCGCAACACGCTTCAGATATCTCCAAGTTCCGCCGTAAACGTCGTTCACGCTGAGAACGTGGCCCCCCTTGCCTATCGTAGCGAGTACTGCACCAGTCGCGGCACTTCCGCTTCCAAAAGTGAGGGCCTTCGCCTCCTCCAGCCTCCAGGTTGGCTAGGAGCCTTTCGAGGGCATCACGGTTAGGATTCCCGGATCGGCTGTACTCGTACCCCTTGTGGACTCCAACAGATGACTGGGCGAATGTCGTAGACAAGGATATAGGAGGAATAACGGCGCCAGTGGTGGGATCTGGTTCAGAAGCCGACGTGAATCGCCAGTGTACTGAATCCGTCAGACTTTAACGGTGATTTCGACGCTGCGTGACCCGTTCGATTCCTGGTAATCGTTGACTATTGCTGTGGCCATTCGTGTGCGTAGCTTGGCCGTTGCCGTTCGCATGGTGATAATCCATTCCAACAGTCATGGTGATGGGGGTTGGTCTCGTAGTGTCTTGCAAATAAGGAATTCAGCGCCTTCCTTTTATTGTCAGCCTTCGGAAGTATTCGCAATAATTCGTCATCCTCTCATGCTGAGTCAGCCAGGTGACTCAGTTTCGTTCGTAATCCTTGTCGGGGATTGCGAGAGCGGCGGCGTGCTTAGCTGGGATCTTGGTAATGAAAATGGCGTCTGGAATGATTCTGGGTAGCACTACGCATGATTGAGAGAATGAGTCGAGATTGATGAAAGTTTAAGTATACTGACATTGGTCTCCTAAGGTTAGGGTTTATGACACTTCACTAAAATCCGGGCGGAACATTCATGATTGACGAAGACCGAGCTTCATTCAGGGAATAGGTCATGAACGAGGGGATAGATCCGACGGCCCGTTGAGGGGCCTTAATTGAGTACGCCGCCACGACAGAAATCCTATAAAACAATGTCAGCGAGACAAGGTCAGACATATTGGCAGGAGGGAGGCCTATAGTCTTGCCTATCACAAAGGCCACAGGGAGATTCTATGGGCGTAGGAGGGAGGGGGATATTTATTTTGGCTAGTTCCTTGGTTTCAAATCTGGGAGAGCGTAACAAGAATTAGCGCTCGGAGGAATTTTGGGAAATGAAGATATGACCTTTCTTTCATTGAGCTGAATTTTCAGCATTTATCTTTGAGAATGCCCAGTGCCTCATTTGATGTCAAAACGGAAAATCCTGGTTATAAGCCAAGTCAGTCAGTTACGTCTCGGGAACAAAACAAGACAAGGCGGCGGTACCAGAACTAGTCTCATGACGCGACAAAGGTGTAGCTAGAGAGAAATAAACTAGTACCATGCATTTCAGAAACTAAAAGGAAAAGACAAGGAGAACGCGTCATTCATGGGGGATGGAAGCAAAGTTGCAGTATATTGAAACTCAGCCGAAGCGGCATCTCTCGGCATTAGAATGCCGTTCCGAATTGGCTCAAAGCGGGCCGTGCCGGCAACTTTAAGATCGACCCACGAAGTGGCTTGCCACGCTTTTCTCCAAGTAAATGTCTACCATCAGCCAGACACGCTCCGAGAGAAAGGATACTGCGATACGTGCAGCTTGGGAAAGGTGGCGTTATAGACCTCAATTCTTGACGAGTACAGCAAGTTGGATTGGGTAGTCGTGGCGTTCGTCCACCGTTCGCCTTCTGCTTCGAGGCTCACGCACGATACTAGCTGCAAGATACATAGATACGTATAGGGTCTCTTCTACTGATCACGGCTCTAGAGCTCAAATATAGGTCGTACAAAACTCCACATTCCGTCAAAGTCAATACGATAGTTGTAAAAGGTCCACTCAACATGAAGTAGCGTATCCTCTGACTTCTCAAAGATAAACTAATGCTTCCATGAAGGTGCACCTAATTTTGTCTTATCTCCCGTTAAGTATCTAATCAACGGCGTAGTAGTTTCGTCTATCGCTTCTCGGACCCTCGAATCAAGACCATGATCTCTAACCCCGATATTCAAACGCGAGATAGCATACGGAGTGAACGTTCTATTCGATGCCAGTTAGCTTAGGCTTACCCCCGAAGGTAATTAATAATAATTTCTCCGCGCCAAAACTCATTCCGGCTTCATATCAGTTCAATTTATATGAAATTTTCTGCCATTAAATTTTGACGCTCTTGTTATCGTGCCCTCATCTTGACTGCATCCAGATGCTGTAATGGATCATTGAAAACACCATCGAGTGATCACACGACGTCATCAACTCTGACAGTCCAGGACGGCCGTCATCAATGAAGGGACATCTTTAAGGTTTACCGTCGCACCAGTAACGGACGCACTGGATGCTCACTTCGGGCTAGTTACTTCGAAACAGGGAGGATTCTCTATCTCTCTATCTTAGCTGATAACATGGACTACAGGTTCCTTCGTCTCGGCCTAACACTCTGCCGCTACTCTGGATAAGATTACAAGCGGAAGCGAATGAGAAACGTAGGAACTTACTTCAACTGACGCCGCCATAGACTCGAACCTTCAGATACGAGAAGCAGTCATTCATATAACGGACGCCCGGGGGAAACAAATCACCGCCTTCGTCAGGAGTTGATTCTCTGGTTGGATATTTCTACTGGAAAGTAGAGAAAACGTCTCGAACTCCTGGGATTCCTTGGCGTTGGTCATCTCGGGTTTCCGGTTGCTTTTACGGTGCAACATTGACCCCTCTACCTTGAATCACTGCGTGTGGTATTTCCCTTGCACTGAAGCTCTTACTGCACATTGAGCACCGCCCTGTTTTGCTGATTCAGTCAGAGTGGACTAGGAGCCATACTTTACATTAGAGACCCGGGGCGGACGATTTGAGTCCAAGGCGCTCACTGGCCATTTGCGAGAATCACTCCCAATATAAAATTACTGACATTAGACTGTCATGTTATGCCCCACTGGGAATCGGAACGAACTTCCCAAGTTTGGCTGTGAGAGCGTCAGGATTGGGCGGGCATCAAAGTTGATTGTTCTTGAACCCGCCAAATGTCAAAGGCAAAATTACTCCGGAATTAAAATACGGTGGACTTACACCGTGTCTAGCAGCTGAGTATCCATGCCAACAGCCCTGTCTCATTGTTCACTGTTCACAGCGGTCGAGCCGCGGTTCCGGGAGGCATCAATGCCTGAAAAGCGTTGTCTAAGCGGACGTATACTTATCCAAATGCTCGAGCTGGCCCCACGCATCACAACCAGTTAACACTTGGATCTCCATGGGCCGGTCATCGAGTACGATAAGCTAGAGACTCAAATCCGAAGTCAACGCTTGCTTCCCGAATGAAAAATATCGATACAAGTTAAAGACTGGTGAAACACAACGTCAAAAGACCAGATATATGGATCTACTGCGTATATTACAATCACTGCGGAAAGTACTCCGGCAGAATAGAGCGCCCACGGTGGCAAAGTAAGTAAGCGAGAGCGCCTCAAGCTAGTCAAAACAAAAGGAATGAAAGGTAAGTACAGTAATTTTAACATGTTGCTCGCCAAAACATCCAACCTCCCCAGAGGGATCTAGTGGCTTATACGACTACTCGCTGCATCCCCAGGCAGCTCATGGACCTTCCAGGTAGCCAAGTCTCTGTCCGTTACCACGTCCAGCGCAACGTCCGTTGATGTCTTCATGGTGATGTTCAGCGGTAGCGATATCCTGTCGTTGCCTCGGGACCGACGACTGAAATACGAGGTGACCTGTCGCCGAAGAATTAGTCGCCCAGCTCTCGTCAGGGCGTGCCCGTCCAGATGCCACCCTCGCTACGATCAACGTTGGCGCGATGCCCTGAGACACGTCAATCAGAGAAATGCCGAAATTATGTACGAGAAATACAACACTCACCGTAACCGTATTTAAGATCGCCTTGTGGATACACACTCCTTGCATCATCTCGGGCGAAAAACGCCAGGAAGATGATCAAAGACACCGCGTACAGCGCAGCAGACTCGATGACAATCTCGATAACCCCTCTGTACGACCGAAGTGAGACGGCATGGTTAGCGCCACGTCCCATTGTGGCAATTCGGAATACCACAAGACAGGTCGAAAGAACAGTAGTGATCAGCGACATCGTGAAGTATGCGGTACCCCAATCAACAGCGTCCGGTCCCCAGTTGCTCAATGAAGAGCTGGAAGTATGCCCTATATCTTGATACAGAAAGAATCCGTCGAAAACTACAATGAAAGAGATGAGCGGTCCAAAGGTGGACAAACAGTGTTGGAAACTGACTGATTTCAAGGATGGCACCGATTATCGGGATGACGACGATTTTGAAATTGCGATCCCAGACGACCCAGGCGCGCCAAATCTGACGTCGGTGAGAAGACGGTAAGAGTTAGAGTTGGAAAGCGGGGACGTACCAGGACACAATCCGCTATCAGGATATTCATACTCGCAAACACCCCACTCACGGCCCACATCCAGCGATAATCCTCATTCAGGAAGGATTGGTATATCGCCATCCTTGAATCCCCATTGACGATGAACGCTTGCCGTACCCAATACCATCGTACTCCCAAGTGAACGGTTTCGAAACTATAAAGCACGCCGATAATGGCAGCCATGAACAGGCGATTGCGACCTCTTTTGTTGAAGACTGAAGTAACATATAGTGAGAGATCAAGACCTACAGTATGAGACAAGTCTTACGCATATTCGAGAGGCCTGAAAGCAGGACAGCCGTATACAACCCTATTTTCTGGTGGTCAAAATGGCTCGAATCTGTCTTCAAAAGATAACACTCACCATGCATTAGGGACTCAAGACATAGCGAATTGAGATATCCATCCAACGCTTGGTAGATGAGTTCTGCTTGTTCTTCCGAACTCGACATTGGCGTCGCCGATAGTGAAGGTAATCGTATATCAATGTCAATTTGGGGTCACTGCATTTTATACCCTTCGGCATATCGGGATATATGAAGTAATTGCGATAAGTTATGGAATACGCGTTCCGAATCAGTGATCTAATGTTGTCTAAACATCAAAAGACAAACGAGACGAAACAGACGTTCCCTCGACGATCAGTGGTTTTCTTCTATTGGATGGCAGTCCCGCTCGCGGCTCAGTTACGCGAGTTAAACGCCGCAATATAATCCAAGACGACAAGTTGAGGCCAATCCTCAATGACGCGTAAGCCGTGGTCTAGGCGATGCTGTCAAAACCTGACCCTGATCTTTGGAGAGGTTATGTCAATTGATATTCAAAAAAGACACCGGTCATAATAGGAATGTAACATGACAAACTCACCTGAACAACGGAATAACCGAAATGGGTTGCATCGTCAAGTGGGAAAAGTGGGTTCCTTTGCCGTTACCGCTAGATCAAGGGCGAAGCGGAGGGTCTTCAGGAGACGAGGGATTACGGTGATGTAATCCTCAGGTCCGGAATCTATAGTAAAAACAAATACGAAGCTATTCCTCGAACAGTTTCCGGAATCGGTGGAGACAAGAATGTTCAGCGGTAGCAGAGGACACGAGGTGTATCATGGGCCATTCTAAAGCCTATAACTTGGAACCCTCGATCCGGCATCGCCATCTACCGACGGTATGAACGCTCCCATTATCCATGTCACCGACCACGCTGATGGGCGTGAACTCGCAATCAAACGAGAATTTTGTAGGGAAAGTTAAGGATAAGGAGATTCTACCATGGACGGTTCGTGATTTCATCTCCACACCAGAAATAGAACACATATTCGTCTGGTAATTTCTGATTCTTGGTTCTGGAGCTCCCCAGTCAGCATCTAATTCGATTAGCGTGCCGAAGAGAGCAGAACCAAATGATACTTTAGTTGCATGAGCCAAGACTGACACCCATGAGGAAAGCCATATCCAAGTAGCTTAACGTTAAAGAAGATTGCCCGTGTGGACAAAGGCTATGAGATAGCAACGACGAGAAAGATAAAAAGTGCACGAATGGAACCGGGCACATGAACGACACGGGTGCAATGTCTGTGAACGACAATCAGAAAATCACTCCGCGCACAACCTAAGTGGCGACCTGCATCATGTAAATGCACGTCATACGTACTTGCCTTTGTTAAGGACATGAGAGACTCCGCATATTCTGCCGGCTTTTGGTCATGATCAATAAGAAAGTATAATCATCAACCACACGCGCTAGTGGCATCCAGCAGAGTTTCGTCGTACTAGTCCTGCGGAAGCACTTAGAATGATAACAAGGGGTGAGAATTATGAAAATTCCTTACATCTTTCACTTTAGGGGCTGGTTGGATGGATACCTGTACTCTCGTTCACAGGGGGTTAATCAAGGGACTACACTGAGTCACTGGCTCCGTGAAGAGAGAGAGAATGATCATCAGTAAAGCGCCGTAAGCGCTTGAGCACCAACCACGGAGCCGTTACAAGGGGTTCGGTGACTAATATGTGGCGCAAGAAGCCGTGGTGAGAAAATGGCCGCGCCTAGAGTACGGGTTGAGTGAACGTCTGAACGTTTGCGTTTGAACATCACGTAGTACTAAAAGCCAATTCATTGTGATTGCGTTTGACTGAAACCCGAAGTGTGAGATATACCGCCTATGCTAGGAAACTTAGAAATCAGGACACGACACGACCGCAACTCTGAAGCAAATAAGCACTTTTTTCGAGTGATACGGTTCCATTATAATCTGGGCTGGAGTGGAAATGTATAATCATAAGTAAGAGGCAGGACGACATCACGGGACCAGATTCGCTTTTGGGTGCCGAGATTCCAAAAATATACTGCAGGCCGAGTATATAATGCATATCCTTCAGCAGATTGAGCGTGTACATCTGGCGGTACTAGCCTACAGGCACATAGTCCAAGAATTAGGATGATGCAAGCTGGGAAAACAAGGTAAAGAGACTCCGGCAAAACCCGAGTATCGTGGAACCGGCCCGACCACCGCAAAATATATTATCATCAGACGAGAGCGTACTCTCATTTCTACTCCTTTTTGAAAAGCAGTACAAACCACCGCCCTTAGATCAAAAAATCAGAATATCTGAAATGGTAGATAGTAGCACTCGAAAGTCAAGCGAACTTGAAACAACTGTCATCAACAGCGCGCTGAGAAATTTGAACGTACTAAGTACTTACCTTGTTCTGTCGTCGCGTTTCCGGCACCGATTTACAGGGCTAGGGAGGAAGTTCAGTTCAGTCGAGCGAGCACGGTGGTAGCTGCTTTAGAAGTAACTATGACAATAAAGAAGCCCAGGCTTGTGACGGTCAGGATAGAAATATTTCATTCATATCAGTTCATCTCTTCGCAGTGTACAGCGAAACTATTTAGCTTTCCAGACCGCATTCGATGATGTAGTCTTTTATCCGATCGTAGACCTACTATTTATGCGCAGTTACGAGCAACGGGATTTGGGGTCCTTCCTCTGCCTTGCCTGGAACGATGGGACTCAAAGCCATGCCGGCGGGACCATGCTGTAATTTAGGAGCACCTTTCGGCATACTAAATTCAAAGTTGTCCAGGAGCTCTGTAACCACAGATTGCAGCTCCATAACGCTATAGAATAATCAGAGCTCAGAAAATATCATGAACTGATCCGTACTCACGCAAATCGCCATCTGCAGATAGAGTAACAATAGGTCAGCGCGAACCTTCACTTGCTGCGTTCAAGGTACTCACCCAAGACATCCACGAATACCAGCACCTATTGTAGTACAATCAGCAACAAAGGCTACCGAAAGAAAAATATGATCGCTTACTGAAGGTCAACCTGTCATACGATTGTGGCAATATCAGCGGGTGAGATACATTTAAACGGACAAATCGTACAAATTCGCATAAACCCCAAGGGACGTCTGCTTGTTCTCCCGGCCGTCAAGGAACCGGCGGGGATTCCACTCCTCGGCATCACCGCCCCAGACCGATGGAAGTCTAGGACCGACATCAGTCAGCGACTCTGCATGAACAATGAAATTTAGAAAACTACAGACCGATTGTAGGTATACACAGAGGTCATGACAACCTGTCCCTTGGAGATAGGGACCTGCGTGCACAATTTGCCATCCGAAGTGGTGATAGGCTCGGCGAGGGGTAGGACATCGTCCTGAGTTGGTTCACGAAACAAGCCGTACACCAGAGGATGGAGACGGAGAGCTTCCTATTGCAGACCATGCATTAATACTTGATAGCTAACGTTATACCATAGAGCAGCAACCCACCTTGATACACGCATTTAGCCAGAGCATTGAATCGTAGTCATTCGAGGTGAGCGCCCCCGGGGCATTCGATTTGGTTTGAGCAATCTCCTGGCGTATTTTTACTTGATCATCGGGGTGAAGACTCAGCTCATAGAGAAGCCAAGCCATAGTGTTTGCCGTCGTGTCATGACCGGCTATAACAAATGTTCTGTTCAACGCAATCAGTCAATCGAAGTAACGTATAGTCGAAAGGACCAACGCCAGCTGGGAGTCGATTTCTATATCGCTCATCTTCTTCTTCGCGTCGTCATTGAGATAAGACATCACTGGGTAAATATGAGAAATACGTGGCGTGGTGAAAATCCATCTCACATACCGAGAACGTTAACGATATCCTTCTCAGCAGGATTAGGATCGTTCGCCACTTCTTTCAGCTGTTGCTCGAAGATAGGTCGAGATACTTTCATCGCGACATCTCTGAAGCGAGTCATCCGAACGGTCTCTCTACTAGGTAGCCATGCGAGAGGTAAAAGCAACCACTCAGGAAGTACGCGCCAGAGCGCCGCGTACAAAAGCTCCAATGGTGTCGGCCACATCCCAGCCTCGGCGCTATTAAACAAAGAATGCGCAAGACATACAACGAAGAACGAGTGGGTAACACGTACAGGAGATTACTAAGTGCCCCCATCAACTCGGTTTGTCCACCGCTGAGCGAATTGAAGTGATATCGAAATGAAGCTGGCAAATCAGCCGTCAATCACTGGCAGGCATGAATGAAAGATAAAACCATACTGATGCCTATGATATCCAGCGCGGCCTTGTTCGTCCATTCCAAAACATCGAGCACCCTACCATCCCCAACACGCTCGTTAATTTTCTCCGTAAGCTAAGGCAAATAAGTGAGCCACCACCATGAAAGCTCATGCACCTGGCGCACCTTCACAGCTGACGCTTGGAAGACGGTCAGAAAGAGCCGGAGTTGAGACGCCGCAAAAGCAGGGCCGAGAATTCTCCGCTGCCGTTGATGGATTTCACCTAAAAAAACTCCAATTAGACACAAAGACAGATGACGCAGAACCCATTGACATACCCCCCACAGTAACTACGCCGTGTCCCGTGAGAGCCTCTTGGATGCGATAGGTGTCTCTTGTCTTTGAGAATCGGTACCCAGATGAATGGAAAATGTATTGCAGTGCTTTAGGGTCACCGACAGATAATATATCTTGCTGCACTAAATATCAGAACCATCGATGAAATTTGGACAAGAGTCACTGACAGCGAAACAACCCTTGGTGCGGTATACGGCACCGTATCGCTGACGCCATTCCGTCTCTAAGTCACCTACGTGTTGACGACTCCGGAGGAGGTACTCGTGACCTGACCAACAAGGATTCAGAATACAGTTTTGGCGACTGCGTGGAGGCGAACAAACCCAAGAGGAATGAAGGACTCGGTGGCCCACGGATCTTCCGAATAGCATGCTTGCGCCCTTTGTAACGCAGAAAAGCGAAGGCAATGAAAAATACGACTGTAGGGAAGACGAGGTAATGGATGACGGACTGCATCGGATGCTGGAATGGTACCATTGCGACCAGCCTTTTATTAGTGCTAGCACTTGAGCCTATCGTAAAAAATATCCCGAGGTTAGCGAAGGACTTCAGCCATACGGCACCGTCGGGTAAAATCACCTGTGTCAAAGCATCGGAATAAGTATGGTCCTAGTGC